CATATAATATAATTTATTTTGCAATGTTTTACCTGAGGAAAAGTTCAAAATAAATAATAATCATGACTTTCACATCCCATAGAAACGGAAAGCGAGGAAAAACTGGTTTCACAATGTTGTACTCCATCCTAAAAATTTTATTTTTGTAGGTTTGTACGGCAATCCTACGTTTGATTGTATTTTAATTGGATTAAATTTTACATTATATTCGAGTATACCATTTTTGATAATCTTTAGAAATCTATAAAAATAATTTATATTTGTAATATGTCTACAATATATAAATATTCTATAGAATTGTATTGAACTTACTCTGTTGCATAATATTCATTCTCAGTGATATATAAAATATCATCAACGTATCTGCACAAAAGTCCATTATTTGCAAATACAAAGAATATTTCTTTCAACATATTTTCATAATATATATCAGATAAAATTGGTGATACCCGCATACCTTGTGGCACACCATGCTTTATTAAATATACTTGACAATCTATTTTAACCTATAGTATAAAGGTATCAATTAATATTAATCACAACTCGAATAAGGAATTTTGTAAACCAAGTCCACTTCTTGGCAAAAGCTGTGAAGTTAATAAAGATATATATATTAATCACAACTTTAATATAATATCTTTGTTCTACCTTCTGTTCAAATATTAATTTGTTTATCTTAGCCACCAGTTTTCCCACTTTAACTAACTTTGTTTTTTTTTTGTTTATAACTGCCTTTTTATTTATTGCTTTCTTCAGATATTGAGATACAAATTGCACTGTTTCTATGTTTTTTCTATTTTTTGATGTAGTATATCTTCTTACCGCAATATAATTTTTGTGATTTAATTTTAACTTCCTACAGCATGTAGTAATAATATCATATAATTTTTCTACAAGATAGGAAATAAACAATGCTTATTGGTAAATGTCTTCTATTTTAAATGTGATAAATAATTAATAAATTATACCTTGTATAATTGAGCCAAATGCATCTTGTATATCACACCGCACATAATATAATCGATTTTTGGTTGAAGCTTTAAATTTAAAAACTGCCTGCTTGCAGCTTGCTATAGTTGGAGTTTCACTTTCATTAAAGTATGTGACATATAATTGCTGCAAAAATCTCAAAACAAGATCAACGTCATCAAACTCCTTTTTAGTATTATATCTGAAATTATATGTAACATATGTAATATATAAAATTTTGTTAATGGTATTTATATTTACTTGCAGCATAAATAAAAGAATTATATATACTTTGTTATTAATAAAGCTCTCAAACCAGAAGAACTTGGGATATATCTATATGTCCCAACAGGTATATTAAATTTCAACTCATTTATTTTCACAGGTACCCATGGTACAAGACCATATGTACTAATTTTTTTCTTTATAAATTCTTCTTGCATATTGCACCAATCATCTTTTGCAATATAAACCCATTGATTTTTAACTGATAACAATACTACATATTGATGTAAAATTTTTATTATATATCGTGCAAAGAACCAATGTAACAGTTTTAATACAATTATCCATCGTATTGTATCGTTGTCAATTAAATGCAACCACTCAATATTGAAAATCTGTAAAAGTCAGAGGTTTCAGAAAACATTGAATATTTTAAATCATTAGGAAGAAGAGATGATTTTGGCAAAAACAAAACTATTATCTGTTTTAATTAAAATAAACATACATCAAACTTGTTGAACAATGGTTGCATGTTTAACAATGCCCCAGTAGCTTTTTTTCTTTTCACAGTCCTTTTAAAAGCTTTTGTTATGAATTTATTTTTTGGAACAGTATTTAAAAGACAGCCTATCCTTCTTTTTATAAATTTAAAATTTTTTCTTATTCCAAATAATTGCGAAGGAATATTTTTATCTAATAGCAAATTAAAGAAAGATTTCAGTGAACGTCGATCAATTTGATTCTTATATTTTTTTTGTTTTGCATACTTATTGCTATCTCTTGCTATGATATATTTCAATTTCTCGAAATAATTAAATCTATTATGCCGATTTCTGAATGATTCTAAAATCGGTGACAAGATAGGTGTAACAACATTAAGATTAATGTCTCTGTAACATTCCTTAAGTCCAATATCTGTATTCAATATGTCACGACATATTGTTTGTCCCGTATTTCCACTCTCTAATATATGATATTTTGAGATTTTTGCCATAGTACGGCCTGTCTTCCTTATTCGACATCTAGATGCAAACAAATTCACTGTAGAATTATATGTTTCAATCGGAACCGAGTTTGTAACTTTTGTTCTTGATTTCGACTTTGAACATTGTCTGTTTAGAAATAATGTTCTTTTAACATAATATGAGGCATATCTTTTTCTACAAAAAACACAATTGATTTAGAAAAGAAAATAATCAAAATAACATAATAAATAACATTCATATCCTAATTAATGTAATCATATTTCTTCCAAATAAAACGAGATTTATATATATAATATAAATGTATTTCATATAAATAAAAACCTTTGAAAACTCATTTTGTTTTTATAATCTTCATTTAATAACTATTAGCGTTATATGTTTTACTACACATATAGATAAAAATTAGTTCAAAATAAAATACAGAATAAATTGAAGGAAATAAACGAGGGAAAAAATGCGACATAAAAAAACAAACATTGAGCATTGAGCGGCATCTCAGTGGAGAATAGAAAGAAGCATTAGCTATATAATATGATGAAGGATGCACTTGACGTTACAAATGGTTCGGGGCCATAGGTGCTTATTTAAAAATTTTCGAAAATTTCTCTAGATCGATACATCTATTTCTATTCCACTTGACGTTCAAAATGCTTCGAATCATTTGATTGATCAATCAGAGCAAAGCAATCTCTGCTCCTGATTGGGTGTATTTAGTACAACAATTGCTCATTGAACAGCTGTTTGTGATTAGTGTATACTTTTACATCCATCAAAAATCTAAAAGCTACGCCAATCATTAATCAAATGCTATTTGTGATGGCACGTGGAGGGCAGAAAGAGCGCAGTTATAAAGAACAGATCTTTTCCTAATTTTTTTTTCTAATCACAAATGCAAAAAAAGCGCGAAATTTAACGTGCGGTTTTCTAGGAAATTGCCGAAATTAGAGAATTATTGAAAATATTCTGCGTTGAAAAATGTATTACTTTCGAAGCGTAAAATATAACCTATACGAAATAAATAAATAATAACAATGAACTGACAATAAGAAGCAAATTAGTGTAGATAAGGGAGAATCTTTTTTTTTTTCTGACACTCCTATGCTTGTGTGTGCTGTCTTCCCGTGAATCTACATACAAATTCGTTTAATACTTTAATGATTATTGGGAATATAGGTTATATTTGACACCGTGCTGTTTTTATACTTTTCTACAGCGCTACAAGAGAGAAAGTGCTTGGTTTTAAAGATATTGTAATTACCATCGTATTCTATGAATCTTTTTTCTTCTTAAAAATATTTTTTTCCGTAAGAAGTTATTGCATCTACGAAAATGTTGCGAAGAATGAACAGTTTACTACAAATTGCTGTGAGTATATCTTGTTCACATAAAGAAATTTTCGACAAAAATTGGTAATAATTTCATGGAGAGTCTAGCACAATATAATCTTTTCTTAATAGGCTTGTGGACAGAAAATGAGGAGCAGGAATCTAAACTTTGTACCTATTGTAGTGGAACAAAGTGGACGTGGTGAACGCGCGTATGACATTTACTCGCGTCTTTTAAAGGAGAGAATTATTTGTCTCATGGGTCCGGTACGATATATAATTTTTTGTATACCAGACATTAATTTATAATCTTGAAACAATGCATTCAGTGTCTTTTTATAGATTACAGATGATGTATCTTCTGCGGTAATTGCTCAACTTCTTTTCTTGCAATCGGAAAGCAGTAAAAATCCGATTCATTTGTATATTAACTCACCTGGTGGGAGCGTAACAGCAGGACTTGGAATATATGATACTATGCAATATGTCCTTCCACCTGTCTCTACATGGTGTGTAGGTCAAGCATGTTCTATGGCTAGTCTACTTTTGGCCGCTGGAACTAAAGGTATGCGTCATTCTTTACCAAATGCTAGAATCATGACGCATCAACCATCGGGAGGAGTACAAGGCCAAGCTACAGATATTCAGATTCAAGCTTTAGAGATTCTTAAGTTGAAAAAACAAATCAATGAATTATATGTAAAACATACTGGCCAGGATTTAGAAAAAATGGGTACATGTATTTCTTTCTAAATATTTTTTTTTATAGATTTATGAAATATTTTTGTATTTAATAAAATAATTTTATATTCTTGCACAGAAAAGAGTATGGAGAGAGATAATTTTATGAGTCCAACACAAGCTAAGGAATTTGGAATAATAGACAAAGTGTTAGCTCATCCTATGCAAGAAGAATCTACACAAGCGACAATAGAGAATACGGCAAGTGCAACGACAAAACCTTAATATTGTTGGATAGGATACAGGTATAAAAGTTTGGTTTCATTGTTATTGTAACAAATGCATTAAAAAAAGTGTATTTATTAATATTTAATATAATATAAACTATTTATAAAACAATTATATAAACTATATTCTATTCAACTGTGCTTGTGGAAGAAGTATATTTACCCTTTTTCAAATTTTGGTATATATATAAAATATACTAACAACAGAATATGAATGAATATGGGGATAATATAACCACCTATATTCTTTCTTCGTGTTATATCTTCATAATTAGAGATAAGCATGGTCACTAAAAGCAAGTGTATAACTTGCAATATATGAAAAACCTATTCACCTTAAAATATAATATGATATGTTAAAAGTTTGCTTCTATTAAAGTTTTATAGTTCAATATATAATTATGAAAGTTGTTTAAAATTTACAGATTTATTTATTCTTATAAATCAGTAAATATATCGTTTTCATATATATACCCTGTGTTTGTATAATCATTATCTTAAAATTTTATCTTAAAATTCTGTTTGTTATTGTGAATATCACATGCACGCGCGAGTGCACATATTTTTATATATTTATTATTTTAATTTATATATTTATTAACTTTTTAAAAATTCCGAATACACACATGATCTTATTTGATCATACTCTGACAACAATTAAGAAAACAAAACTCGTACAAAATAATGAACAGACAATGGAAGACAAAACCTTGCATCCCAAAATATATACATATAGATAGTTTCGATATGTAAATGCGAGTGTTTTATTGCGCAGTATATCTTTATAACTTTTAATGATGTGTGTAGTATTTGAATGTATACTTAATAATCCTATATATCAAAATATCCCATTTAAGATCTATTATCACCAGAAATGCTTTATATCGAAAAAAGCTCTACAAAGAAATATATTTCATAAAAAGGACGGAATAGTTTGTGCTGTATAAAATTAGTATCTTAAAAAGGATTAAGTAAAATTGCCCATAAAAATCGATCATTGTAAAAAAAAAAAATACCTCAAGAAACTATTTTTGTCAAAACTATTATCATCCCTCGCGAAAGACCAGTCTTGTGCATTATTTATTTTAATGACATCCGTTTTGGAGAACCTATTGCGGACAGACTTGTGCGTGTGCGAGCATCAGTATGTCTTTCTTTTCTTTCGGAAATCTAAGTTCGCGTCCCGCTAATCGCGCAGTTTCAAGTTCTCGCTCGGCTAAAGCCAATTCCATTGCCACGACTCCACCACCACTCTCATGTTCTCTAGCTACCCAATCTAATGCCATTTGGCTACGCATATCGTCGTCTAACGCCCGATGACTATAATGCGCGACTACTTCCTGTCTACTGCATTGCCTCTCTCTCATAGCTTTTAAAGAGCCATTCCAATGAAGTAATTGAAAGACTGTCATTAGCTCTTGGAATTCCAACATTGTTCTTCCACGATTGCACTCCAACATAAAACGAAATGCACCTATACCTGTATTTGGATCTTCTTTCTCATCGCCATTTCCCTGAAAACATATATGTATAAACAATCATCTTTATTATAATAAATAAATTTGGATATTTTATTTTCTTGTGTTTGGCTACTGACTCCGTTTGGTGTCGCTGAAGGTTTTGCAAAACTGGCCCTTGCTTCTGCAACAGCTTTCTCAATAAAATCATCGGTAATTTTTCTCGATGGATGTTCATTAAATACAGAGTTCATCAGAGCAATTTTTGCAGCCGATCTGCGCGCTTCCGCCTTTGTGGGACAATTTTGAAAACTTCCAAAACAAGATCCTCCAGGAAGTGTTACATAACAAATGTAAGGTGGATTAGCACCAGGGACAGACTCATAAATGACTAACGCGCCATTTCTCAATTCTGCACCTCTGGCTTGTTTCATTTGCCAAAATTCTTGCAATGCTTCCACAACATTTACTGTATAAAAAAAAAATATATATATATAAAAAACTGTATATAAAATAGACAAATGCTCTCATATAATTATGATAAAAAATTAAAATAACATATTTTATTATACCTCTTCCATAACCTTGACTGTGCTTTGCAAAGCTGTTAACAACTGTATCTACAGCTTCTCTTAAAACTTGCTTAGCACGGGCATCTACCAGTCCACCTGTGACCCCCATATTTTCAGGAACGCGAGATTTTGTCTTAACTGGCATCATGCCCTGCATCACTCAAGAACTTGCACTCATTTACTCTGAAAGCATAATGTTCTCCTTCAATATTATCTCAATAATTTCTAAATTATGTTTTCACATGCAATCTCTTTTTTCATACTAAAATAAAATTTTTTATAAAAACGATATGTAAAATGAATGTATATAAAAGTATATAAAGTATATAAATATAAAATACATATTTACAAAAAGTGTGGAAATTACTTTTCAGGAATTAAAATGTTAAGCGTGAGAAAATGGACATTGGAATTCATCTGGATTCGCAAAATTGCGCAAAGTTTCTAGAAATATCACGAGTTCTTTATGTGTTACAAGCACGATTCACATTGTCACTGTTGACACTTGAATCCGCAATCGGGATTAAATATCATGCCGTGTCAATCGCGACGCGACGCGATCGCGAATACTCACCGAGGAATCGGCGAGACAATGCTACGCACACACCGTCTTCCTGGTGATGATCGTCGACGTACGGCGCGACAAGGGTCGGATGATGCCGCGACAACGGAGGCGAAGGGACGGCGGTTGCATCGGGTGTTTGAAGGAACCCTGGTGGCCCGACCGCGCGCACGGACCCGGATGCCCAGGAATTCGCGTAAATTACTCTCCGATCGGGGCACCGCGCCGAGCGCCGCGGGATCAAATTGCAAGACACATATAACGCGTTTAATGGCCCCGGACCGCTGACGATTTCCAGAAAACCAGGGCCGGGCGGCACGTGCGGGCGCCCCGCGTCCACCGTTCGCTCTTCGTCCACCTAAGGGTTTCGCCTTGTCCACCTAAATATCCGTGTTTTTCTCTTCCTTTTTGCTAACGGGGACCAGGGTCGCAACGTCCGGCGCGACGCCCGCGACTCGTGTCAACGATTCGTTCATTAGAGAAAAGAGAGAAAAGAGAAAAAAAAGTTATATAAAATATCGATAATTAATACAATTAATAAAATGAATAAGATAATATAACAAAATTGATAAAATTAATAAGATATGAATTAATAAACATAAATTAAAAGAACGGGATAAATTGGTTGCATAATGTGTGTAATTTGTAAAAGAAGAATATAATATATATATTACTGCACGAGATAGATTTTAATTATTCATTTCTCTAGGTGCTCTTCTTAACACGTGTATCATCGATATCGAATATCGTAATGCGAAATTTAATTATACATATATTGCATTATTGAGAGGCTTCTTTTTTTATGAATTGCATTCTATGTAAGATCTTTTTGCATGATACTTTATGAAAATCTTATATTGAAAATGTTTGCAGAAAATTATTTCATTGCGTGTCGTATAAATAAAAGCTATATAAAAACATGTGACATATAATCAAAAAGATGTTTTACCGTATCTTTGTACAAAATGTTTTGATCATTGTTTTTTTTTTGCAGTATGTTATTATAATAAGTGATGACAAAGTCTTATTATTATTACTTGCTAAAAACATTAGAAACCATGAATTATAGAGAAAATGAAAATTGGAACGAAAAATCATGTCACAATTTTATCTTTCTCTGTGATCTTCACAGGTTTATTTCTCGTATGCGTGGATTGCACGCACACTAATGTAAAACTTTTGTATATACATATTATATATATGTCAGACATTATCGGAGCAACTTGAATAATTTGCGATCTAGATGATTGGTGATTTTTAGGAGAGGATTCAGCGACAGATGCACCGTATCGTGGTTACTTTTGAAACTCCTTTATGTGAAATGTACCTGTGGGTAAAACAGTACCGTTATCATGGCACAATACTTTTATCTTGTTTCAACAGAGAATACTATTCACTAACACTAACACATTTCGACGTGACTATAAAATTTAACAAATGATTAAAAAAAAAGCTTTGTTTTTGTAACAAACATATATTTTGACATTTGCAAACACACTTTGTTTATTTTCCTACTTATTTAAAACTATTCTTTTCATTTCACACATAAATGAATGTATATAATGTTCTTTTATTTGTCATCATTCGTAAAGTGAAAATGGTTAAAAAAACATCCATCAAACTTTTAAAACCTTGAATACGAAAGAGACGTGTAACAGAGTATGATATTATATGATAATATTGGAACCAAATTACAATTAATTCCTCGCACATTTTATTATTTTTGAATTAGTAATATATCTCATCATTATTTTTCATTTATATTATATATCGACATTCAATTATCGCCACAAACACATGCACGTATCTATATCTAAAAAGTTGATCTTTACATCATTGATCACATAATATTCGATCGCATCATAGACATCATTATATATCATTATGCACGCGTAATAGACAGTCGGATAAAAATTCAATATACCGAGTAATTTATAGGAAAAAAGCGATGCTTTGATGAATATAAATCCCCTCGTAATCCGCTTCTTCGGCGCGAAATCGTATAGACATGCAGGTATAATATGCAATGGAAGATACGTGGCAAGAGCCGCGTTCCTTGCCCCCGAAACATCTAGCCGAAAGCAGGAAAAGCCCGCGAACGGCAACGATTTACGCGCGTACGTTTCCCGCGTGGTTACTCGAGTGCAACACCGTGTGCATAGGCTCGTGTTTGTATGTGTACGACGGATCAGCTGAGCGCCAGCTGTGCCGCGCGCCCGATCAGCCAATAGGCGGCGAGTATAGCAGCGCATCCAGATCCAGGCGCCCACCGCTTCGGCGTTCCCGCGAAACGCCAATTCACAAGCACTAGTAGTTTGTCTCGCGCGACAGAGAATCGTGTCCTCGCTTCCATCGTCTGTCAAGTTCTCTGTAAAGTTCACGTGCGTAAGATCGCGAGTGCATCCCCGCGTCCTTCGATACGGAAGTCCGATGTGAAAATCGCAATCGAAGGCAACGTGGATCGAGAGGAGAAACACAGATGTGCGTGACGCGCAGCTGCGTGGCTTCGGCGGGCTTTCGCACCTTCCGTTTGCCGCGCACGATCCTTTGAGCCCGATGCGTCTCGTCCCAACACCAGGACACGTGTCTATCAATCCAATCGACGTCGATTACCGTATTCCGAGGGGTAATTTCGGCCGTACGAACTGGTCGAGCGTGGCATCTCGTCGGAGGGACGCCGATCGTGGAGTCGCATTCGGACGGCCGGAGAAATCGGAGCCGACACGCGGAAAGGGAGGTATTCAGGAGTCCAGGTATTACGACAACGTCACCCGTGAAATTGTGTCAGAAAAATCTGGAAAATTTGCCCCCTCTTTGAGGTTATGTAGCGCATATAGAGGGCGTTACGGGACATGCAGGGGTTGGTCATCGTTTCGCGCGCTGTACTCCCGCGCTTCGACATCCACGTCCTCAATTTTTACCGGAATATCGTTAATTCGCAACTCGCTCATACCGCAGAATAGCTTGTAAAAGAGACGAATAAGTTTCCCGACCGTCGAGATCATCGCCGGATGAAAATCGTGAGACGATATATCGAATCAAAGGCGGCGCAAGAGGACGTGCATTATGGCGATCGGGTGCGTGTAGGCTTCGCGCGCTCCTCCGTTTTTCATCGTTTTCCCAAGAAAATTGTCGCATCTAGATCGAGGAAATTGGACGGACGCTTCATCCGAGAATCTCCGCTATCACGGGCACTTGGAAGAAAATAATTCTGACGGCAAATATTTTTCCTACAGGTCAATAATCACGCGACAAGATGCCACAGACTAGGTGAGTGATCGATGTTCCATTTGGTGTAAAAATTTAGATATATCTCTCTTTCGTGGGCACAGGATCATTTAGCGTACGATGAAATCGATTCGGCGCGTATCAATTGTCTGATTAAAAATATTTTTTTTCTATTCCCGCTCGAACTTTACTCCTATAACCTTTGTTCTTTGCATACCTTCTTTTCCGAAACTTTAGCAACTTTCCTTCAATAAAGCGATAATTTAACATCTTCTTACCTTCTCCAATAATCCTGTTTACAATATAAATCTGCAAACTAACGGCACATTAACTGCTCTAAAAAGATTGATGATTATTGCATTTTTGTACATTAGTAGGAAATATCTTTGTTTTGATTTATTTTGTTTGCTTTGTACAAACTGTTAGGGCTGAATAGAATATTAGGAGAAATTCTTGAGTGGGTGATAAATTTTCTTGTACATTTAGTTTGCAGGAAAAAAAGTCGTTGCAAACTTATTTGCAAGGAGGCAAGGCACAGTCTTTAAAACGTAAGAGACGTACAACAGGACTCTCAGAGGATTCGGAAAACATATATCCACCTGCTAAAGTAACGGCATTGTCTCATGTCTCGTATACGGAATCTTGTCATAGTACACATTCAGTAGATACTGCATGCACTCCTCAACATCAGACATCTCCATTGAAAGAACAGCAAGAGCCAGCTACATGGTCGGAATTAAGAACTGCAACTTGTTTTTTAACACCATCAGCCTCTAATAGCACATCTATTAGACCTAGTCCATTACCATCTCTTCCATGGGCCGATGGCACTCAAGTATGGTCTCTTATGTGCCTTGGGGATGAGAAAACTTTAATTCAGAGAAATCCAGAAATGTTCCAAAGACATCCAACATTGCAGCCACGAATGAGAGCAATTTTATTGGATTGGTTGATTGAAGTTTGCGAGGTGTATAAACTACATAGAGAAACTTATTATCTCGCCATGGACTATATAGATAGATATCTGTCTATTCATCACGATTTACCCAAGAATCAATTGCAACTCATAGGGATAACTTGTCTTTTTATTGCATCTAAGGTTTGTAAATTTTTTTATTTCTTCATGCATTTATCATAACTTATTTAATTGTTTGAAAATGATGTAAATAAAATTTTATTTTTACAATCTAAAAATATATTTATATTTAATAAGACAATTTCGAAATAAAGTGTTTAATATATTTACAGGTTGAAGAAATATATCCACCCAAAATCGCGGAATTTGCGTACGTTACGGATGGAGCCTGTACAGAGGAAGAAATTTTAGGAAAAGAGTTAGTGATTTTAAAAGGTCTTGGGTGGAATCTGTCCCCGATAACTGCCCCAGGTTGGCTCAATATTTACATGCAAATTGAATCAGGCGACTCGTCCAAACCAAACACTTTTATATATCCACAATATGGTGGACTGCAATATTCTCAAGCGGCTCAACTGTTAGATTTGGCAACTTTGGATGAAGGTTGTTTAAAGTTTCCATACAGTCATATAGCCGCAGCAGCAATTTACCATACTCAAGGAAGAGAGTGCGCAATAAGAGTATCCCGGCTCTCTTGGGAACAGCTTGCTCCCTGTGTCAAATGGCTCACAGCATTTGCCACTACTGTCGCAGAAGAGGAATCCCAGTCTCTCTTAAGGTCTACAATCACAACTATAGAATCACATTCTGGATCTGGACTGAAGGCCACTGTACCTAATATTGTTATGGACGAATCGCATCGCATACAGACTCATGTAGTCGATTTGAATATGTTGGAAAGGGCCCAGCAACGATTGGCTGGAGGAATTCTGAACGGCTACGCGAACGATTCAGACACGAATATTGAATCTGGTAGGCAAAGCCCGAACGAGAGTGGCCTTTTAACCCCACCATCTAGTAATCAAAAAAATTCTCCACTGTCATCATGTCCTACACCACAGTTACATCCTTATACATAACCAAGTAATTGCAAGCATTTTTTATATTACGTATGGTAAATTGTTATATTTACTATATTCGATCGTCAATTACTCAGCAGTTACAATGATTTATATAGGAATTTTTGAACAGTGTACTTTGGAAAAAGCAACGTCACATGCATATATGAGGAAATACTGATAACATTGGGCGTTGTGACACGTTATTGTATATAATACGATGTTTTCTAATTGCATTCATCGTTACAATTAAACGATTGAGTTTTAGTAATAAGATTCAGTAAAAGATATCAAGCATTTTTTAAACGTGCACTACATAGCACAATCAGTTTAACATCACTTAATACATACAATTAAAAAAGTGGCTTCGTGTTTATAAATGTCTTAAAACATTTATGGACTTAAAATAGGAGCCATACACATGGCTATTTTCTGTGATTATATCTACTGCACTGAAATTTCACATTTTATATTAACATTAGAATTAACTTATGTTTATTATTTTACAAATGTAAATGTAAGAATACCGAGAAATGTTTGTGCCTGCAAAAAGTGCCCTTAAATAAATATTTCTACCTGATTTTAAGAGAGAAAGAGAGAGCGCATTGTGAATAGTATTCTTTTATACAACGTGCTTTATTGTAATGCAATGTATTACGGCAGCACTTTATCGTGTCGGATGCATGTATTTTTATGTATATGTATATTATGGAGAATCTATTAAAAAAATCTTTATTCTTCTCTCTTAAATTGGAGTGAATGACGAGAGATGAACAAAAGGATCGAGCGTAACGGTAAAACGAAAAAAAAAGACTAATAATCCTTAATGAGTAAGCATTAAAATTTTGTGGTGAATTTTGCACTGCCCGGCATGTAATAATAACGTGGCAGTTTATACATATTTGTATGAAGAGTTTGACAATAAATAAAATCGCAAATTTATGGCATTGTAAATTGATTATTCTCGTATTTTCGAAGATTGTACTAATTTATTTATATTATTTGTAGAAAGACAGAAAGAAAATTATAAAACTGTCCAAATCTATACTTTAAACAATATACTGCTAAAAGATAATCAAGGAAAGAATTTAATCATGATTAACATCGATCGCACGTTGGCGCAACAGCTGCGACAAGGCGGGAAAGATCCGCGGCTGGCTCCCAATTTCAAATTGAACTAACTCGATTATCGAATATCGCGACCCGTTCGAGGATACTGCCTTACCGATCGACAGGAAGATTCCAGTGGCGCCGCGGTGACGCGCCGCAAAACGCAACGGCGCGTCCTGATTCGTCGCTACGTTCGCATTCAAGTTTGTCAAACGGCTCGCGGCCGTTAGTCAAAGCCAACGATCGCGATCTCTCTCCGCGCAACGAATTCGCACGCAGATACGTCCGAGAGACTAATCCGGCCGAAGACGTTCGCCAGATTCCAACACTGATGCGACATTCCGAGTGACCGAAGTAACGAGTGTGCGTAAATGTAAACACGCCTGTGCACGAATTCCCTTTGTTCTCGAGAAACAGTCGAGTGAAGTGTGTGCGAGTGCGTTGTCGTTTTCAAGTGCGTGTGTATCCCATCCCTCGTAAGTAGACTCATCTTGTTTCTTCTCGAATCTTCGCATTTTTTCCGGCATAAATTTAAGAGGGAATAACAGAGGATCCTTAATAACGCTTCACCGGCGCGATCGTTCGCGGAACAATGATTTTTCTCTAAAGGATAATAACGAAGAACGTCGATTTTTTTTAGTCAGAAAAAAAGGAATATAACCGATACATTTTCCATCTATTTTAACGTATTTATTATGAAATAATACACAATATAAGAAACGATATATTTTATCTGTGATTCTTTTAATATTTTTTTGACATTTCTTTTTCGCTCAAATATATACAAAGTGACGTTATCAACAATATTTCGTACTAGGAGATTGAGCGAGACAAATTTTCAAGACATGGAAGAAAGCACGACAATGCCGACCCCAAGAGGCATCGGAGGATCTGTTCGCGATGGCACAAGAGTCGTACTGAAAGAAATAACGGCAACGCTTCACAATTCGTCACAAGTTTATCCTATTCGACCAAAGGTACTCTTAATGAATTATTAATGAAAATTTCTCGTCATTAGCACCGTTATCCACTTTCATTTTCTATTATATGTAATTTAAGAGATTTATTTCTCCATGAAAGCATGAGCGAAAACATGCACTTTCGCGACACTTACACATATTTTTTGTCTCACATTTATTTGCATGGAATTAAATAATACGGATATAACGATATAGAGCCGACGCTACTTCTTCCTTTTATCCTTCTTCGCGCTCTTCTCTTTTCACTCTCGCGGCTGATAGTCAGACCGGGGAGAATGTGTATCGCTATAAATAAACTCCGTATCTCCAGGAGAGAGAAGTACCCTGAAACAAAAATAAGTTTTGCTTCCCGCCATACGGGAGCATTTCTTTGAAACCGCGGAAGAAAGGATCGCGGATTCGTTCCGAGTTTTGGCACTAAATCTTCGAATGTTTTCTACGATATAGAAAAGCTTATTGCCATGATACACTTTCTTCGAGATATCTGGAATATTGCCCATATATTTTGAAATATAATCAAATCTCATTCTGTTTCTCGCGATCAACTTCTAATAATTATTAGGAGCTCTGGGAATTCGAACTAAATGCCTTCTCGTCTTTAATTCTATTATATTCGAATTTATTTTAAACTCGAAAACAAATTAATTAGCAGTAATATAATTAAAGCCTCTACGAATGTGAATATAAGTGTCAGTATAATTGAACGCGATATCATATACTGTCAGATTTAATAATAATGTAGTCTCTATGTTTTGATTAGATTTAATTTCACATAAAATATGTTTTTTATAACAAACTGTACAGTATGTATTTCTGAACATTTTAATTTGAAAATTTACATCTATCCGTATGTGTTCACACATTGATTAGGACATATACACACACATATCAATGCAGCGCTAAATGCTTAATGCTCAATGTATATTACAGGTGTTCTAATAAATCGGCGATAAAGATATGCTCACACGTTTTCATCGAATCGTCTCATTCCTATTCTTCGCATTGAGGATCTCTTTCGGTGTCTTCGTCTGGAAATCAGCTCTGTTCAGCTCCTTCAGCAATCACTACACACTCGACGATGTACTTATCTCTTATCTCATCACACTCCGTTACCAAGTATAGTCGTATTGCTCCAGATAGCGCCACCCTGGTCGTGAGACTTTCACGCGGCTCGATATGACCAGAGAAGTCCTGTTCCCACCACTTTTCTCCATAGTTGGTGATCTTTGCGGCATAATGTCCGTACGGCGTGTGCGCGGCTACTGTACTGTACTGCTCGACGGTGCGACGAGAGTTTAGTATGCACCACCGTGGCATCACGGCGGAGGCGATGATATTCGCGGAACAGCTTTTGCCGAAAACCCGGTCGACGCGCCACGACATCGTCGTGTGAAGCTTTCCGCGGCGCCGAGGATTAATCCCGATCTCGTTTCATAAAAAGGTGAGACGATCATCCCCATTGTCTTTCCCCTTTCTTCTCTTTTTCGACGACGACGACGATGACGACGATGACGACGACTCCTTGCGCGTGCACATGCACGTACGTGCGCCGTGCCGCCGAGTCTGTCTCGTTTCGACCGATGACGACAGTGGTGGTAGTGGTGGTGATAGTGGTGGACTTGTGGAGTATCGACTAAGGAACGCGTCGGTCTAATATTAGAATTTCGACGCGAGATAGATATCTGTCGTTGACCTCCCGCCGCGGGCCCTAATTTTGGGTCCGCTTCCGCGGAAAACATTCCTCTCGATTTCGTTACGTATCACGAAACGTCAATCACGTCGTAGATTCCGGACGTTAAGGATGCGTTAGAGCGACGAGCGTCNCGATCGTCGTGTTGAAGAAGGACTTGACTTGACACTTGCCGCATCATACAATCTTATCAGCCGCTTTCTTTTATCTACTACTTCTACTATATGTATTTTTTATCTGTATTTTATTATTTCTGTTTTTATCGCCATTGCCGCCTCCTCTCGTTCTCGTTGATTATAATGGAGCTCTCTTAATAAATATATTTTTTCTGTTAATCGGGCAGATCCTGTATAGAAAATACAAATTCACAATTTATATATATTTTCGGACTATTCTCTAATTATTTCTTGCTAATATATTAAAGAATTTCATCTTACGCGATGTAATTATTCGGTAATTCTCTCTACTAATCGATATGTTTTTGTGTCTACAAAGGTCAATATCCGACCCAATTTAATGACACGCTATAACTGTGATAAAGAATTAAGTATTTTCGCATTTGGGTTGCATCACTTAATGCGGCTTAGAAACACCATCGTTTATATCGAAGTGTTAAGAGAGGCGCGCTTAAATACGGGCTCAGAACTAAAGAGGGTAGATCATCTTAGAGGGATGAGAGAGAGACACACCCCGAGATAGTTCTGAAGCCTCCGTAAGCGTGGTCAAATGAGAATGAGTCATTGCGTGATGGTTGCGTTGCAGTCTCGATGATGTCAAGAGCGCGCCGAATAAGGAGCGCGAGAGAACTCGTGTTTTTCGTAACGGATTAAATTCGACTTTGTCATCTACATCTTACGTTTGTTGTTCATTGACCTCGTTTCCAAAAGATAAGCTTGTGCGTTTCACGTTCCCAATCTTCAGTTTTTCACTTTTGAAGATAAATAACGCTAATAAATTTCCTCGCGAATAAAGCGATAAATTATCACGGTCAGATAAGTTTTGTTAATGATAGTGAATTATATTCGATATTTATTACGATAAAGAAAGAGACAGCGAAGATATTGATATCCATGCAGTCGTGAAATAAAAATGTTGACCGAGTGCCGAAAATATTAATGTTTAAAATAATAATATTTATGTCAATCTCTCAAAATAATTCACGCGCGGTAATGTTTTTTCGACGGAGGACAATTGTGTCAAGGGTAAAAGCACAGAAGGGGAAGTGAAAACGTCTCGACGTGGGGTTCTTCGAACCCGCGAGTAAATATGGGACCACGTTGCGTGTTAGTGACAGCCAAAAGTGGAAGTCCTCTTGCGAGAAATTATGGGGAATCCTCTCTCGAAGGTACAAGTTCGCATGTTACCATGTATAACAAAGTGTTTCATTATTATTTCTTTCTACGTATCTCGTTTGTTGCATCACGCAAGAATTATGTTGCTCGGCAGCGCGGATACTCAGTTAATTACCACGTGAGATAAAATCGTTCGTAAATATGATTTCTGCCATTAGAATGCCCATTGTTATCTTGTGTTGTGTATCAAAAAAAGAATATCTTCCTTCCTTTGCTCATTTTCACAATAGTTGGTGTTAGTTTATATATATATATATATATATAGTGTTAATAACTACACAGTTATATAGTTGAATATATACTTAACACTGAATAGAGTAGAGTGAACGAGTGTCAATTTAAACGAGTCACGAAATAAATTTAATTAAGTTTTACGTCTTTTCATGATACGTTACGGTGTTTTTTGTAGAAATATATATTCCTATGATCTTCCAATTGCGTGATGATTTCACGTTCCTCTGTGTTTAATCGCCGCATACCGTTATATCCGTGCACTCTAAGCCGCAAACTGACGAATGTATTATGATTTCCAGCGTCTCCTTCCTCGATGTGGAGCAGCAGCTGTTTTTGCGTAACCGTGTCGCTGTCTTGCAAAGGCTAGCGGAACTGTGGCATGAACAGTGGCCAAAGCCTTTCTCTCTCGATATGTTTTATAATTAGCCCGAGCGAGGCGCGAGACAGTTGCGCAATTTCTTTCACAAAAAATCGCCAGACTGTCAGCTGATCATTGCGACGTAGTCGCAATGTTCCCAGTGAACGTTAGTATTTCACGAATTACACCGCTCGGCTACGATCGATGCGGCATGGAATATATCAATAAACTTTTGCATCGTGCTACCATGAGTCCAACATCTCCTTCGCCTACGCAGACGGTATATTTTGTGTCGCGCATACTTTCGAAGACGTTTTCTATCAAAATCTCGCAATTGACACACTTATTTGTCATTATCTCTGCGTTACATTGAAAGATCGAAGAAAGTTACTTCTGTATGCCCAACGAAAAATTCGTACTGTGTATTATTATAAAATTCTTACAAGGATTCCCGTCGGCTGAATATTTAGCGAATGCCTCATTTAAAATCTTATGGGAAAGAAGACAAGAAAAGAGCGTTTCCGTGAAACATTTTAACGCGCCTTTTTATTTTCAGACGCTCAACAACGTGTTGAAGACAGCGGAGCATGAGGTCAAGGTCCATTTCGCCCGTGAATTTGCCGATGTAATATCAGCCGCGGAGAACCGCTGCTCGGCTCCGGAAAGTCTCTCGTCAGCTAGCAGTTTCCACAGCCTTAGCAGTACTCTCAGCACGAAAAGCAGCAGTGGTATATGTCCCGATTCGACGCTCGAAAGTTCAGACGACATTGCAGACACATCTTACGTCAACTCCAACATACCCGGCTTGGAGGATTTGATCGCTGCGTGCGCCAACATCCATCTGGAAAGTGAGCGTGACGCTACCCAGGATCTCAGTCAGGATCAAACTTTTGCATCGGCCACAGATGAGACGCCGTTTCATGCGAGCGATTGTTCTCTTAACGAGGATCTGCCGAATAACGCCAGTAATGAGACGCAAGTGATCGAGACAAATACTGAATTACATGAGACAACGTATGTATCATTGAACCAAACGAATACTTTTGGGCCGTCTAAGAGCGCGCTTCCTATTCAAGATTCGCAATTTGTGACTTCGTACCCGGTGGAGGAACATGCATCGCAGATAGAAGAATCGATCGATAAATGTATTCTATCACAAGAAAGTGATAATATAGCTAATAATTCTGCGACATGTGGCATTGCAACTAATATTGTAAAGATCTCATCGCCAACGAATAATGTAGATGATAATCGATCGAACGTAATAACTACCATTTCATATGACGATTTAATTCCCAACGTTACCAGATTCGATGAAGAACAGAGCGTAGAAAACAATTGCAACGTCGAAACATTAGAAAATCCAAAATTGTGTCCTGTCGAAGTTCCATCCATATCCTCGTTAGCACAATATGCAGAGGGCCCTTCATTACCCAATATATCCAGTATATCGTTATCGTTAGAAGATACCGATAGTAAATCAAAGATAAATAGTGAACAGGATTTATCAGAACTTAAAGAAGAAACGTCATTAACAGTGTTATCACCTTCCAGTTCTGTTGTTCAACCAGAAAAAAATAAAGTTACCAAGGAACAAGATTTGTTACGATTGGATAATTGTGTTGTATCAGATAACCAAGAAGACAGTACACAACTACTAAACAAGACCAGTATTATAGAACCAAAAATATTGGAAGTTAAGGAAAACTTGCAAACGAATGTCGATAGAGAAGATTTAGAAATAACCAATAATGTGGTATTGAATGAAACGCAGAGTTTTTCACCTGAAAAAGAAATAAATAATGAGACTCATGTTATAGAAAAACAATGTAACCCATCAGAAACTATAATTATAGAAAAAGAAGAAAATATCGTGAATAGTACAGTTTCGACGGATGTTAAAGAAAAGGAGACTATCGAAGAAGATCTCGATCGTACGCTTACATTGCAAGAAGTAGATATAAACTTTGCATTAGATGAAGAACAATATCAAGGATTTCAGCCTCAACGGCAAAGTACTACATTGTCGTTGAGCAACAAACAACCAGATTTCGAAGAATTCAGATCCACAGTGGAAAAAGTTACTAATGAGTTGCTCAATCCTTCACAGGAACTCGTGGAAGAGACAGATCAGTTTATCAGCGCAACAGATGAAAGTAAGTATAGTATATTGGACATTCTTAAGACTTTCCTTCGCAAATTTGTGAGATTTTTTAATTGACTGATATTGTTTTGCAGTTTTTCAAGATCCTTCGACATTTGACTTCTTTTTAACACGAAGTAATTCTAAGCATACAGATCGTCTTAGAACAGAATCTTTGTATGTTAAATTTGATCCATTGATATCGAATACCAGCATGTTGCCTCAAGGTAATGCCCCGCCAATAAATGAAGAGCAAAATGGCAAGAGCGAATCGCCTCTGCCTGATGTTGGTACACCAAAACGTAATCCTGCCATAGCAGCTATAGATAGGCTGCTTTTTTATAGTCCTCTTCCTAGCGGAACGATGCAAAAGTTAGAAGAAGCTCAAGAAAAAAATGTAAGTAAAAATCTATAAAAAATCTAAGTAAAAATTTGTATATATTTCTATAATACCTATATATATGTATAATTTCTATTATACCCAAATTTTAAATCTATCATAACAAAATTTTTTCAGGAGCAGCCAGTAGAAGAGCCTAAATCTGATGCACCACTCATTGCAGATCATATAGACATGAGTAAGGAACTTGAAATTGTAAGAACGACGGTACTACAATTAGAAGAGGAATTAGAAAAACAGAAAAAGGAGCATGAAGCAGAATTGGAAAGGCAGAAAACAGCTTTTCAGGAAAAAATTAACAAAATGCAGATGCAAATGGCACAAGAAATAAAAACCAAAACTCAAATGACGTAAGTGATTTATTCAACATAAGATATATACTTATTATATAAATAAATAAAACTTATATATTAGCTTGTATAAATCGTGAATAAAATATAGAAATAATCAATTTTTAGGGTTGTTGTGGAAGAATACGAGAAATCGATTAGCAGATTACTCACAGAGCGGGAAAGGGATCGTACAAACTTTGAACAAGAAAAGGCAAAATTGCAAGAAGAGTTGCAAGCTGCAAATCACCATCTAACTAATACGGAAGCGGCGTTTAACGATGTACATCAAAAGTATGAGAGACTCAAAGGGGTTGTATCGGTGTACAAGTGTCGCTGTCTTGCAAAGGCTAGCGGAACTGTGGCATGAACAGTGGCCAAAGCCTTTCTCTCTCGATATGTTTTATAATTAGCCCGAGCGAGGCGCGAGACAGTTGCGCAATTTCTTTCACAAAAAATCGCCAGACTGTCAGCTGATCATTGCGACGTAGTCGCAATGTTCCCAGTGAACGTTAGTATTTCACGAATTACACCGCTCGGCTACGATCGATGCGGCATGGAATATATCAATAAACTTTTGCATCGTGCTACCATGAGTCCAACATCTCCTTCGCCTACGCAGACGGTATATTTTGTGTCGCGCATACTTTCGAAGACGTTTTCTATCAAAATCTCGCAATTGACACACTTATTTGTCATTATCTCTGCGTTACATTGAAAGATCGAAGAAAGTTACTTCTGTATGCCCAACGAAAAATTCGTACTGTGTATTATTATAAAATTCTTACAAGGATTCCCGTCGGCTGAATATTTAGCGAATGCCTCATTTAAAATCTTATGGGAAAGAAGACAAGAAAAGAGCGTTTCCGTGAAACATTTTAACGCGCCTTTTTATTTTCAGACGCTCAACAACGTGTTGAAGACAGCGGAGCATGAGGTCAAGGTCCATTTCGCCCGTGAATTTGCCGATGTAATATCAGCCGCGGAGAACCGCTGCTCGGCTCCGGAAAGTCTCTCGTCAGCTAGCAGTTTCCACAGCCTTAGCAGTACTCTCAGCACGAAAAGCAGCAGTGGTATATGTCCCGATTCGACGCTCGAAAGTTCAGACGACATTGCAGACACATCTTACGTCAACTCCAACATACCCGGCTTGGAGGATTTGATCGCTGCGTGCGCCAACATCCATCTGGAAAGTGAGCGTGACGCTACCCAGGATCTCAGTCAGGATCAAACTTTTGCATCGGCCACAGATGAGACGCCGTTTCATGCGAGCGATTGTTCTCTTAACGAGGATCTGCCGAATAACGCCAGTAATGAGACGCAAGTGATCGAGACAAATACTGAATTACATGAGACAACGTATGTATCATTGAACCAAACGAATACTTTTGGGCCGTCTAAGAGCGCGCTTCCTATTCAAGATTCGCAATTTGTGACTTCGTACCCGGTGGAGGAACATGCATCGCAGATAGAAGAATCGATCGATAAATGTATTCTATCACAAGAAAGTGATAATATAGCTAATAATTCTGCGACATGTGGCATTGCAACTAATATTGTAAAGATCTCATCGCCAACGAATAATGTAGATGATAATCGATCGAACGTAATAACTACCATTTCATATGACGATTTAATTCCCAACGTTACCAGATTCGATGAAGAACAGAGCGTAGAAAACAATTGCAACGTCGAAACATTAGAAAATCCAAAATTGTGTCCTGTCGAAGTTCCATCCATATCCTCGTTAGCACAATATGCAGAGGGCCCTTCATTACCCAATATATCCAGTATATCGTTATCGTTAGAAGATACCGATAGTAAATCAAAGATAAATAGTGAACAGGATTTATCAGAACTTAAAGAAGAAACGTCATTAACAGTGTTATCACCTTCCAGTTCTGTTGTTCAACCAGAAAAAAATAAAGTTACCAAGGAACAAGATTTGTTACGATTGGATAATTGTGTTGTATCAGATAACCAAGAAGACAGTACACAACTACTAAACAAGACCAGTATTATAGAACCAAAAATATTGGAAGTTAAGGAAAACTTGCAAACGAATGTCGATAGAGAAGATTTAGAAATAACCAATAATGTGGTATTGAATGAAACGCAGAGTTTTTCACCTGAAAAAGAAATAAATAATGAGACTCATGTTATAGAAAAACAATGTAACCCATCAGAAACTATAATTATAGAAAAAGAAGAAAATATCGTGAATAGTACAGTTTCGACGGATGTTAAAGAAAAGGAGACTATCGAAGAAGATCTCGATCGTACGCTTACATTGCAAGAAGTAGATATAAACTTTGCATTAGATGAAGAACAATATCAAGGATTTCAGCCTCAACGGCAAAGTACTACATTGTCGTTGAGCAACAAACAACCAGATTTCGAAGAATTCAGATCCACAGTGGAAAAAGTTACTAATGAGTTGCTCAATCCTTCACAGGAACTCGTGGAAGAGACAGATCAGTTTATCAGCGCAACAGATGAAAGTAAGTATAGTATATTGGACATTCTTAAGACTTTCCTTCGCAAATTTGTGAGATTTTTTAATTGACTGATATTGTTTTGCAGTTTTTCAAGATCCTTCGACATTTGACTTCTTTTTAACACGAAGTAATTCTAAGCATACAGATCGTCTTAGAACAGAATCTTTGTATGTTAAATTTGATCCATTGATATCGAATACCAGCATGTTGCCTCAAGGTAATGCCCCGCCAATAAATGAAGAGCAAAATGGCAAGAGCGAATCGCCTCTGCCTGATGTTGGTACACCAAAACGTAATCCTGCCATAGCAGCTATAGATAGGCTGCTTTTTTATAGTCCTCTTCCTAGCGGAACGATGCAAAAGTTAGAAGAAGCTCAAGAAAAAAATGTAAGTAAAAATCTATAAAAAATCTAAGTAAAAATTTGTATATATTTCTATAATACCTATATATATGTATAATTTCTATTATACCCAAATTTTAAATCTATCATAACAAAATTTTTTCAGGAGCAGCCAGTAGAAGAGCCTAAATCTGATGCACCACTCATTGCAGATCATATAGACATGAGTAAGGAACTTGAAATTGTAAGAACGACGGTACTACAATTAGAAGAGGAATTAGAAAAACAGAAAAAGGAGCATGAAGCAGAATTGGAAAGGCAGAAAACAGCTTTTCAGGAAAAAATTAACAAAATGCAGATGCAAATGGCACAAGAAATAAAAACCAAAACTCAAATGACGTAAGTGATTTATTCAACATAAGATATATACTTATTATATAAATAAATAAAACTTATATATTAGCTTGTATAAATCGTGAATAAAATATAGAAATAATCAATTTTTAGGGTTGTTGTGGAAGAATACGAGAAATCGATTAGCAGATTACTCACAGAGCGGGAAAGGGATCGTACAAACTTTGAACAAGAAAAGGCAAAATTGCAAGAAGAGTTGCAAGCTGCAAATCACCATCTAACTAATACGGAAGCGGCGTTTAACGATGTACATCAAAAGTATGAGAGACTCAAAGGGGTTGTATCGGTGTACAAAAATAATGAAGCTGTATTAAAAGAAAGTATTCAGGAAAATGTAGATACTATAAAAACATTGGAAACGCGATACGATCAATTAAAGGAGCATGCAATGACTCAATTGGAAAAGTATGCAATAGACACATACATTATTTCTTATAAGACATTTTGATACAGGTACATATTAATATATCACATTTTTTTAGAGCTAATTTGGAGTTGGACGGAATACGAAAGCAAAACGAGGCGGAAACAGTGAAGCTGCATGCAATGATAAGGAAAGCAGAACTTAAGAGTAATTCGCTCGCTGAGCTTGTGGAGCAGAAAACTAAAGAGAACAAAGAACTGGCAAAAATCCTGGACGAGGTTATCGCTAGGGTTGGACACGGGAACTCGGAGTGAAAATAAGAATAAGGGCTAATCGCGATTGTGACGCGATTAGTCTTTATTTTTTTATCGTCCTCTTTCACACTGTCTTAAATGCAAACATATTTTAGATATATGACGGACATATGTATACATGCGTTAACTCGATAAAGTGTAGATTGCGTTTTACTTCACAAGAAAGCGCCTTTTATTAATTATTTATATAAGTTGTGAAAGATAACTATTTTAAAGCTAATAAAACACTATGCTTATTTAAAAAAAAAAAAAAACACTTTTATGTATATGTATAAGATTAAAAAATATTTTAATACCCTGCAAATAAGGGTGTAACAGCATACAGTCCCACTTTTAAATGTTACATTATTATTACTATAACACGTCTTGTTTTTTCATGTTATTTAAATTTTATAAAAGTCTGTGTATAAACATACATCGCGGATAAAGATATAAGCACTCATATTGGTCATTTTAATAATGTCCTGTTCATTAAAAAACATTTGTATAATTTTCTGTATTTGACTAATTGTACCAACGAGTACCGTCAATCCATTGGTCTAGTATCGATAAGAAACAGTACATGATGCTTGGCCAATTTCAACATGCGGTCAGTTGTACTACCAGGTTTTCGCGGAATATTCCTATTTTCGAGATCTGGCATGAATTTTTTTATTATGCGCGCTAAACTCGCGGCATATTGTTTAAATTTTGGATGATTCATGCCAATGCCTTTGCATCGTAAGGCCTCTGCAACTGCCCAAAGTAATTTCTGAAAACAAGTGTATATATATATATATATGTATATATATGTAACCAGAAAAAATTATTAAAGTGCGCACGCCTGCGCGCACACACACATACACACAAAATATTGAGGCAAAAAAGATGATACCTTTCTATGTGAGTCACTGAGTTCATTCCTTCCTTGATTAAAAGATGTATTATTTTTTGAAAGCACATTGCTCGACGAGTGTCTATCCCATGTAACTTTCGAGGTATTTTTTATTTCATGCATGCAGTCAAAAGATAAGCTTTTAGCCCACTTTAATCGTGGCCCTTGTAATTCTTCTTCACACTTTCTTTTCCTGCTTTCTTCTTTCAATGATGCTTGTTTCAAATTCTCTGATTCATCCTTTCTTGGTGTCGCAAATAAGACACGTTTGATTTTTTGAGAATCTGAATTATTTATACTTAATTTACTAGGTCCGGCATGATCCGACGGAGGACTTTGAAACAGCGCACGTTTCGAAGTCTCTAGTTTGGTTTTATATGGACTTGGTCCATCCAACATTAGTCTCCGAACTGCTTTCTTCTTTGCCGAGCTTCTCGGACTTTTACCTCTCGGACTTTTACCTCTTGGACTTTTGCCTCTTGGACTTTTGCCTCGTGGACTCTTGCCTCTTGGACTTTTTCCTTTCTTATGTGTAGGTTTCCTGTATTTAAAAAAAATAGATATTATTTTTTCAAAAATAATTATTTTCTTTTAAGTATTATATTATATAACATGTGATACATACTTTATTTGTACCATTAACTGCTTTTTGTCAGTGAGTCCTAATCCTTGCAAGTTAGCGCTACAAAAAGTCCTGCGTCTTCTGGCTAAGTGTGACAATTTCTTCTCTGGACTCTGACCGTTTTCGCGTTTTGCTAATAAAGTTCGCTTTCTTGCACTTCCTGGTGCTTTTTTCGAAAACCATATATTACAAGTTGACTGTGTTTCAGCTCCTATATACCTCTCGCATAATTTAATTGTCAAATTCTCGAATTCTTCTACACTTCTATTTCTATTATAACTAAAATTTAAAAAATGATATTAAGGATAGATTTGTATATACTTTATCTTAAATTAAATGCATATTAACTTACTGTATGCCATAGAATTTGTGAGAATATGCCTGAGGCCACATTAAACTCATAGTCTCCTTTTTATTAATTGTATGATAAAGAAGAGATTGTTCGTGAGATACATTTGAGATATCTATGATCGGTGGAACTCTCACTGTTTTTTTAATCGCATTAACTGGATTCTTTATTCCCATAGGAACACTACACTGCATATTTAAATTACTATTATCACCACTAGTATTGTTTGTACCTAATTGTATACTTTCTGTATTATTAACTGATACATTGCAAATGTCAAAGGCATTTGACAAATTCCTTGGAGTACCTCTTGTACATTGATAAGAAGTATTCCTAACTTCTTTCTCTGTAGTTAACTGCTTTTGAGATTTTGTGCTTTCTGCAACCTCCAAATTTTCATTTGATAATGGATATTCAATCCAGAAAAATTGACGGTTTTCATAAATATTTTGTAAAAAATCAGAACAATCTTTCTGACATATTGTATGTCTTGGTGGAGGTGGCACACCTCTCAAAAATTTGTTAATTCTAGCTAGCAAGTTATTATCTGACTTTGTAATTAATTCTATTTGAGAAGGCTTTTGAGGGCTAATTGCTGCCAATGTACTATCATCCAGTAATGTATTATTAACAGTTTTATTATCCACCTTTCTTTCAGTATCACTATCAAACATCTCTGGACTTGAGATATTTGGCAATGTCTCTGTGATTTGTAAACAATCATATTGATTGGCAACACAACAATCCATGGAGCACTCTGAAAATCCAGAAAATCATTATTGTTGAAGATTGTGATGAATTTAATAATGCATACAATATACAATATCAGAGATTAGAAAAAAACAGAATGTTTGTGAATCGCGCTTGCATTATTGACGACATATGTATTACTATATTATTTATTATTATATTGTTTATTTTACTAATTCAATTATACCACTTTACATGTAACGTTTCGTCAATGAAGGTATTAAGGTAATTATAAAAAATACGTGCATCTCTAGTCGCGAGAATTTAAACATCAAACATGTGCACCTCCCAGAGCGATATGCATTGCGTGATACGTATATATGACATACATATGTAAAAAAACGAGTGCGCGCAACCTTACCCTCTGGTATTTACGACAGTCTTATCAAGGAACCACGTTTTTCCTCTCTTTCATAGACTCTTCTTGCCTCTTTTGTAGCACAAACAGTATCACGCACTGACTGTGGGACAAATTCATTTATTTTTCGAATCTTCGCGAGAGTCTCAGGATAACCGTACCCTCCTGTACATCATGGGACGATACGATCAGATGACGATGTGTCTGTAATTTTACGGTACATTTCGTATCGAACAACGCTGCCAAACTTGAAGAAAAAAAATTAACCAGAACGAGTATAAGCAGGGAGATTGATGACAAATGTCATTTCAGGATAGAGATTTTTAGGATGAAGCAACGAATCTGATTGGCTACTCCATGTTGTTACTATTTTTTTTTTGAGCGAAGCACCGACAGTAATATTACTAGAATTTTTTTAATACGTTGGTATCTCTGTATCGCGCGACTAGCGCCGATCACGTTCGCGAAAGGAACTTTGCCCTTTGTACAAATGGCGACTTACGGTGAAACACGCTGTACCATATAACCCGCACGGCTCATCCGGCCCGTTTTCCTCGTCGTGGAAATAAAAAGTTGAGACTTCCGGCGCGGCCGATATCCGATTAAACTGACTGCACCGAAAGGAACGCGATCACGTCGAGCGTGCGACAAATCGAGCGATAAATCGTGCCGATAAATACGTATAAATAATGGGTAACGCGATGGCCGCATCCGCGCCTCTTCCACCTCCGCCGCCTTACAATCCGCCACCGGGTCCCGGACTGATACCGAATTTAGGGAAACAGGAACCGTCCACGGACGTGTACGCGCCTGCCGAGACGCCCACTCAGATCGAGAATCCGGGTACCATCGAGGACCTACACAAGAAGTGTAAAGGTATTTCGTCAAAGCACGAGTTACGGTCCACGATCGCTTTTTGCTTTCTCTTCGGGTAGACTCCCGTGTTTTCTGATTTTATCACAGAAAACTTTTTGGAATTTAACCCGAAATTTTCTAAATTATTTCTTTACGAATGACTAACGTAAAATTCTTAATTGAATAGTTTTCTACATTGTCCACTTTTGTATTACCTTGTATTAGAATGCAAAAGAAAAATATAATTGGATATTTTCATATTAGTTATGTTCTCTCTGATTTCCTATTGTTTAACTTTTCTCTTGTACTGATGTTCCAGTATAATTATATGATGACAAGTAAAGTAAAAAAATGAAATAATTTAAAAGAAATGACAAACAGAATCAAAGTAACTAATATAGAGGCTCGATATGATTATGTGATATAATACAAGTCTATTATTCTGATATAATGCACGGTAAATGTAAAAAGATGAAATTTTTTCAAATTAGTTTGTTATATTGTCATTGTATTTTCTGACCAACTTACTTTGCTAATTTGTTATACTATAATTTATATGTGTATGTATAATTAACAATTTAACAATTGATTACATTTATATATTTATTTTACAGATATATTTCCTATAAATTTTGAGGGAGCAAAATTGGTTGTCAATAAAGGATTGAGCAACCATTTCCATATTTCACATACCATTAACATGAGTTCTGTAATACAGTCTGGCTACAGGTAAATCAACATGAATATATACATTTTGTTTTGATAATTTTTATTTGTTTTACAACATATAAATTTATCATATCATTTAATTAATTTTTTAGATTTGGTGCAACTTATGTTGGTACAAAACAAATTTCACCTACAGAAGCATATCCTGTATTGTTGGGCGATATTGATCCAAGTGGAAATCTTAATGCCAATATCCTTCATCAGCTTAGTTCAAAACTCAAAGGAAAATTGGCAGCGCAAGTGCAGAGAAGTAAATTCACTGCTATACAAATGACAGCTGATTATCGAAGTGATGCATATACCTGCTCGCTAACGTTAGGCAATCCAGATGTTCTTAATTGCTCTGGTAAGTTTATAACTTAAAAAATATTGTGGAATATATGCAACATCTATATATTAAATGTTGACAATTTATTTTCAGGTGTACTTGTTTTACATTACTTACAAAGCTTGACACCGTCACTCGCATTGGGTGGTGAGCTTGCGTATCAACGTGGACCTGGTTTGCCAGGTGGACAAATCGCATTGTTGTCCGCTGCAGGAAGATATACGCACGGTGACTCCACATTTAGTGGAAGCATTAGTAAGTAATGTTCTGATTTTTCCGATAATATATTTCTTACTTAATCTCTCTGCATTTTGTAAATAATTATCTTCTAAGGTCCATCCGCTTGCCATCTCTGTTTCCACCAACGTGCTAGTCAACAATTACAAGTGGGCGTGGAGTTAGAAATCAACGCGCGCATGCAGGAATCGACGGCAACAATTGCTTATCAAGTCGATTTACCTAAAGCGGACTTAGTGTTTAAAGGTATATTTGTGCTCGAAATTAGTCAGTATAAAATTTGACATACTCTTATCCGATTCTCTAATCTCTATTTGATTGATTTATATGTTGCAGGTAGTGTAGATACGACTTGGACAGTAGGGGCAGTTCTAGAAAAAAGGCTACAACCGTTACCATTCTCGTTCGCACTTAGCGGTATGATCAATCACAGCAAGCAGCAGTTTAGACTGGGTTGCGGCCTAATCATCGGTTAAGAACGACGCTCGGTTATACGATTTGCGAGATGCAGATCCGAAGTAAATCGGAAACTCCGCTTTTTGTGCAGTCGGACAATCGTGCAATCTTAAGATCCAAGATGCTGTATCGATTCTTTTCCGATTTCAAAGAACATCTGGCATGTCGTGTTTCGTTAAAACTCATGTTAAGCGATCGTGTTAATTTGATTAAAAGATCTATACAGATTTTCGGACTGAATTTCTCGTTTTAATACACTGTCCATGTTTTTTTTTCTTTTTTTTCTGTTTACAACAATTTGTCATTGGGATATTGATAATATAGATAAAAAAATTGAGATAAAAAATAATATATAGTAAATATGCTACATTATCTTTTTCATAAGATTGAGATCCATATTAAAATTCCGATATATTTTTGTGAACATAATATCCTATTTAACACAAGAAATTAATTCATTTTTTAGATGCATTTATATATTGACTACATTTTAAGTAATTACTAAATTTGTTAGTATATCAATCTCTGTCGGACTAGCAACCAAATTGCGAAAGCTACATGAGTAAGTGTGTATTTGTACAGAAATATTGAAACAAAGATATTGAATAACGATTGATTAAAAATTTTTGTTATCATTATGCTAAACCAATATTAATGTTATAAACACTCCATAATTGAAGATGTAGAAACATGTTTCAAAGCAATGGAGTAACTCCCTTAAATTCTTTATGTAATGTTATTTCACGAACGTACTGATCTCAACTTTCTAGATTTTTCTTACTGATATAACAAATAGATAAAGTATATATACATGCTCTATATTCATGAATCCCACTATATAATTTTAGCATTTATTCAAATAGTAATTTTCTTTGTATCACGAAGATGCAATGCATTTATTGTGTAAAAGCAATTCTTTATATTTCGTATCTTGTTTGTATAAATTGATGAATGTATGTGTTCATTAATTTTATACGAATTTTTTATTTTGACAATCCACAACTTACAAGATGACGAAAAGTTCGTGAACACTTATTTTTATATATTTACAATTTTCATCTGTTGAGATTATTATCGAAAAATTATTGTAAATAACTATATCACAAGAAATATGATAAACTGTTATATGCCACGCGATCACGGTAATAATGGTATAATGACTGTACATTACGAGGCAATGTCTACTTTGTGTCTTGAAGATTCGGTTCACGCATAATTATGCTATACAAATCCTCCTGTAATATATGTACCGTGGATTGAATCACGCGTAATCTTATTTTGTCCACGAGGCATCATCAATTGGCAAAGTTTTTTGCAATAGATGAACAATGTTCACGCATTTATTACCTCTGATGTAAAATCTCATAGAAGCAATAAAAAAGAAGGCGACGATCCAGCTTAAAGTTACAACAGCACGCGCGGAGAGACCTACGTCGTTTTGTACTCTTTAATCTGTTTGTACACAATTTTATTGTAAGTATGACAGAATAAAGTTGTATATTGTTGAACAAAACCAGCATGTGTGCAGGAAAAAAGAATTTATATTCGTTATTTTCTATATTATGAAAAATGTGTGGTTTATATATTTCTAGAATATACAAACATATATATCGTATGTTTTATACTTCTGGTCGGATAGATCGGGTTCCTGAGGTCAGAGCGCGCAATTGCGAGTTTACTTCTCGGAGAAAACAATAAGCAATTAGCGCGGGGATCATTAAAAGTACGAGGTGAGTCTCGTGTATAGTGCGAGTGTGATTGTAAAGCGGTCAAACTCGCAAATGTATCGAGGTTGGCTCGCAAATGTCGCAATGCTTTTAACTCTTGTCAAATGTTAAAAATACGTACATATTAGTCGATATTTTTTCTTTAGAAGTGAAGATTTTGAAATATTAATGACATAATTAGGGGAAAAAAAAGTGTTTCTCCTGCAATGATAAATCTATGAAAAGATAAGCTGAAGTAATTTTTATTGTAATTAATTTTTACATGTCTTAGAGTCACTTATTTTTCATTCGATGCGTGCAGTTTAAATATCAAAGAAATCTCAGTATATGTATCAATGAAAATAATATTCATTGCAAAAGTAATCGAAACTTTTCTTTGTTTCTTTCTTACAACGCATTGTCTCGTTATATTTTATTGTTTCACTGACTGCAGACTTAAAGATACAAGTTATTTATGCTTGTAGTTCTCTTATATAATATTTGAATTGTGTACCTAATTTTGCCGAATAGTAATATTATTAAATCATCTATTTTTATATATATGTTAAGAAGTATATATTTATATATGCTTTAACATTTTTTTCAAGTCATTATCTCTTAATAGATATTCATACTTTCTATGCACATTGTTATTTAATGAAAACAATCTATATGAGAAACATTGAGTTTAACAATTAATTGTAATTAATTATTTAACTCAAATTATATCAAGTGGTAAATGAATTTTCTTCTCTCTAATGACTAGGCATACGAGAAATTAGTTTGGAATTGAATGTAGCGTTTATGTACCGAAGGATTACGATCGCTCGAGGTGATTTGAATGCTTTACTATGCGCGGGCATTGTATGATCTCGTTTATAAAACAAATATACGTGCACGTAGAGATGCACGATTTCGATAAATTAAATCTTCCGCGATATGTATAAAAAATATCCATTTACAGAAATGACAGTTCTCTTGAAAGTATAAAGCATGTAAAATATCTGGGTGAAAAAATATCTCGGTTAAACCGCTCGTATATACACAACACGTGTGCCAGTAATAATCAATTGGATGAATGAATGAATGAATGATCGATCGATCGTAGGAACGGACGAATGAATGGACAAGCTTGTCCTTGACAGCCGAGTATCTGTAACCTGGCACTCTCGAAACAGTCGCTCAGCCGCTTGCTTATATATACATATATATATATGCTTCAGCTTCGCCGACCCTGTAAATGTGTAAATAATCTTCCCTCTCCCATTATGTACCACAGGTCCTCATTATATCTACAGTGTCCCGATTTTAATTTATCATTCAAATAAGCTTAAAGGCAAAATCCGTAAAGAGCCCGAAAAAAGAATTGCATAATTTTTCTCTCTCTCTTAAAATCATTTATTTATGTTTGATAAAAAGCGGATAAAAGTTATACAAATTAAACCATATAACGATCATACAGATTACATGACAATGTAAATATTTTCAGACATCGTAAATTATATAAGTCGTACATTTACATTTTGTGCAAATTTTTAACATATTCTTAAATTAATTATTTCTGCACAATTATTTATGTTACGATGCGTGTATATTGCATGTTATGTACGTTTACAAAAATATATTTGAAAACATTTTTAAAGACATTAGCTGTTGATAGCTACTCTCTCTCTCTTACACTTTTTAGATTGCAATTAATTTAAAGACTCGAATTATATGTTAGAAATTTGCATATAATATAACAAAAACTCGGCATCATAAAAATCTAAATAAATGACACATGCTAATTTTGACATATTTGACGTGTCTAGATATTTATGCATCATAATTCAGATTTTTTTCTCTGACAATTCGATATGTGTGACAGATTAAAAACAAGATTAAAAAATGAATCAGTTCGTACAATATCAAATTAATCGATAAAGATTAAGTTTTGGGGTTATTAAAAAATTAAATTTACAGAATTTTTTTTTTATATATAACCGCAATAGTCATGATGCACGATTATCTATAGGTACGATGCGAATACATATATCTAAATTGGTGCAATTTCACGGCATTCATAACGCCGATGCATATCTGTGAAATTGGCAAACGAAATTCTACGTCATAATGTAACTAGACATGGTATGTTCCGTGTACTTACACTCCGAATGTATGTACTTAATTTCTCTTCTTTTTTAGTCCCACTCATAACTTTTATTATATCTGTGGATAGAGAATTTTTTGTATAGTGCTAAATAATCTATTACCATCTCGATCACAGAGGTCATCTACTTTCGCAACGACGGCTCGGATTTCAAAGAGAGAAAGGTGAGATTTTAGTTTTGAACACAATTTACGTGATAAAAGTTTGAACTTTAAGCTTAGCCTTTTGCCTTGTGCCATTACATTTGCCGAATAAATCTTTTGTCTCTTGTACTTTTTAATTTTACTGTAATGTCGGAGAATATTTTCGCGATACACAATCGATTATTTATCTCGCATTTTAAAAGAAACGGTATTTATTTCAGAAAGAATATTTGAAAAGGAGAATATCTTTTTTTGTCGAAAGAAATATGTTTATTGTCATGTCGAATAAAAGATGAGTTGTACGCGATATAACAAATATGTTTGTATATATATTGAATATCATCGAACACCATCGTGCTGTGAAAAACTGTTTGTATACAACACCTCGAATGTGTCTAACTTCACATAAATAATATCTAGAAACCCCGCTTATAACTTTTATTATATCTATGCATAGACAGTTTTTGATATAGTACGAAGTAATCTATTACTATCTCTTAATCACAGGTCGTATATTTTCGGAGCGATGGCCTGGGACGTCGAAGAGAGAGGCAGGTAAGATTAGAGTTCTAAAAACATAATAAAATATAAACTCTAATAGAATTTAAAGTGTACGCGTAAGATTTCAAACGTGCCCCTAGTATTAATAAAAGATACGATTCGAGTTGACGATATAATTAATCATAATCAACCCAAGAGTGTCATCAATTTTTTTCTCAAGCTACGAAGCGCGAGCGCGCGGTGCGGTTGATAAAAGTGCAATAAAATTACACTCCCGCGATGCATAAATTCCAGCGAGTCACAAACGGTGCAGTGTGAAACGCGCACAGGAGCCGGCCTCGCCCGGTTACGAGGAAAGGGTAAGAGGTGGTCACTAGAGCCGGCCCCTCTCCCCCTTTTGTCGCTGATAAGGAAACCGCGCATGACGGCGAAGGGGGGAAGGAGGGGGTCGGGTGGTAGATGAGTATAGAAATTGCGCGATAATAATCCATCGCGACGCGAGCGCGCGCGCGCCGATTTTAGTACTCCCTGTACTTTTCCCTAGTATGATTCGCGTTACCCCCACCACTGGCTCGCGCTTCGACATAAGGCATCAACCCTCCCCTCCCGAGCCGTCACTTGGCTCGCGGCCGCGGTTAGTATCGGTCGCTCTCTTTTCCTCTTCGCTCTTTCTCTCTCTCTCTCTCTCTCTTTTCCCCTCTTTCTTTCTCTCTCTCTCTCTCTCTCTTACTCTCCGCGTCCGTATCCAACCTCACTCCTATCCTAACCCCTCTCGTCGTCTCTAACCGTTCTCGTTCGTTTTCGCGGCGTCTTCGTCTCGCTCGCGTCCACTCGAACGACTCGCCAGCGAACTCGCATCGCCTCGGCCGACCATCCGCGGAGCTGCAATTGCTCGCTCGTTTTCCATCTTTCTCGCACGCTCCCCTTCTTTCTCTTT